TTGCATTGCCTGGAAGCTCTCAAGGACCTGGATATGGTCACCATCTATGGCACGGCTCTCAGTGGTGCTTGACACCTGCAGAGGGGCTTGGGAAGTCTCTGTCTTCAAAGCAGCCATTTGCTCTGCCACCTTGGGGATGACTTGCTCTTTGGGCAAGAGTATCTGTGCAGCTACAGTCCCAACGCAGCCTGGCAGTTGTGTCTCCATCACTGCTGCAGGCACCACACCCTGGGGTCCAGCAGGAAGGGGTTGCATTGGCTCTGCCATAAGCCTGCTTCTCTCTTGTGTTGTGGCTACCTGGGTGAGCACTTCTTCAACACTCTGTGCGGCCAAGCAGGCCGCTGGCAGCTCAGGCAAGATGTCTTCCCTGGGCAGCACATGCTCCGCTTGGCTCATCTGGAGCTGAAGGAGGGCTGGGGGCTCTCTCGTGGCCTCAAGGCTGAGCACTCCTTCCACGGCAGGAAGCTCACCAGTCTCCTCATAGGAGACGGGACTTTGGTCCTCTGCCACAGCAGAGTGCTGCAAGGCCGGGCTCTGCCTGCACACAGCATGTTCCTCAGGCACCACAAGGAGCTCAGCAGAGCATGTGGCCTCACCCACAGTGTTCACTGCCCTGCACGTGTAGAGTCCGGTGTCCTCCTCCATGCACTCCCGCACTGTCAGGGAGCCCGAGCCATCAGGATGGTGAGCAACAGAACGATGAGCATCAGAGAAGAGCTGTTCACTCCCCTTGAACCACTGCACACTGGGGCATGGCTCCCCAGCTACGGTGTACTCAAAGACTGCGGTGAAGCCTGGTGTACATCTCACGCTCTCTGGCTCCCTGGTAAAACAAGGGACCCCTGGTATCCGCTGTCGCACGTGGAGGTGGGCACTGCATGTGGTCTCACCGTGCACATTGCTGGCCACACATGTGTACTCACCTTCATCCTGCACACCCACATATGGGAGGATGAGGCTGTGGTCATTGCCAGCAAACACTAATTTACAGTCCATGGATGGGGTTAGCTTCGTACTGTTGAAAAACCAATGGATTTTGGGTGTAGGGCTGCCAGTAACAGTAACAGAGAGCCTAGCTACATCTCCCTGCCAGACTTCAACATTTGAAACCTGTTTGAGGAAAACAGGGGCTTTGCCCTCCTCCTCCATTTTCATCTTTGCTTTGCTGGAATAAACTGGTTTTTCAGACTCAAATTCAAGTGTTTTCTCTCTATCAGGCAACTGAAGGCCGCTGCTGTAGCCTTCACTTCTTCCTTCCTCAGAAGACACAGTAAGAGAGCTAGTGATGTCTGTATGGGAAAAAATTGTTTTGTTTTACTAGAATGTTTAAGAGAGCACTTGTAGATAGCAATAATCAGTGTTATTGCAACTATTTCTGTATATCTGGAGGTTTCTCAATACTGCAAAACAGTTAACAGTGAACATGATGTCCTCTTGCTGTCAAATGCACACCTGCCAAAACCAGAAAGACATGCTGTGCTGTCAGGTTACTTATGAACTTCTCATCCGGATCAACATAGTTGTCTCTTTAAGCCTGACATCACAGTATGGATTAGGCATACGGGCAGGGTGTACAGTGCAAGTAACAGCCCAGAAACATTGGTATATTTTATGAATTACAAATTGTAATTACATATATAATTAAAGTGATCTGTGCCATTCATATTTGTATGTACACTTATACAAACAAGTAGAGTAGCGCAGTGCTAAGACCCTGGTTTAATTCAAAACACCAAGAAAAAGTAGAATGCCAGAATTAGGATTGGAAAAATAACACAAACTTTTCCGCATAACAACCTTTCTTCTGGTGCAGTTAGTTCATCTCTTTCAACTCTACCTTTTGTCTAACATGTTAAGATATTACCTCTCCCTTATCAGCTTTGTCCTGTTTTTATCATTAGACCCTTATGGTTACAACACCATCATTATTAAAATCACAAGTTTGCACCCTTGATTTAGTGTCATTGATTTAAATCTCTGCTTTTAAACTCCTCAACTCCTCCCTGTCACAATATTGCAGATTAAAACTCCCACAATATCAGAGATATAGAGGAAAAAGCACTTAAACTCACAAAGGCAAGAAAAAGAAAAACCTTAGACATTTGTACGTGGGACCACTTTGTTCTAATGATGGTTTAAAAATGAGAGGAATCAAACGTCAAGATCATGAAATTCTCTGCAGACACGTAACACTAGAACACTAACATCAGTGAACTCTGAGACTTCCAGGAACAGAACAAGCCATCCATGAAAGGCACGACACAAAGCAAACTTTTGGAAAACAAAGCCTGTTGTCCTCACTGAGTCAGGTTTGCTCAGTCAAGGCCCACAGTATTTGACGCTGGAAAGACATAAGAGTTGTTAAAAAATAATAAAAGACATGTGAGTGGATAAATGTCTCCAGGCACTCTAATGGTGAACATTGTTAAGTTTCTCAATTACAGTACTTAAATTCCAAAACTTATTGTGAAATAATAATTTTTGCTGCACTCCAATAACAGCTATAAAAAAGAACAGAATATGCCATACCCAATTCTTTCTCATTGGTTTTAGCAATTATTAATCTTGCCGCAAATAGCATAATATACATGATATAGTACAGTGCATGCAGTGATTAACTGCAGAGAAGAGATGCTTAGGTAAAAAAAAATAAAAATTGCACCAGTTCTTCAGTATTACCTACCAGCCTTGTTAAAACAGGAGGGAATTTTTCCCAGAAATATAATGTGCTAGTGAATTTGAGAATGGGCGGCAGAAATGAGCCCATAATAAAGTATAAAAATTGCAGAATAGAACCTATGCCAACACACACGAGAATGCTCTATATACAGGAGTGGGGCAAAAATTAATGCACTTTTTTGTGTGTTCCTGGATATTTATGACACATTTACACAGATACTTTTTCATATTTAAACTATGTCTGTGAAATGAATAAAGTACAAGAAGTGACGGACTTTAATCATTTAGATATTTATTTCACAAATTAACCATACATGTTAACATTCAATACACATCGATGACAAACATACATAATTCATCCTTTTTTGAAGATACCTGGTTCGTAGAAATGAAGACAACATTAAACCTGACAAAGAAATTGTGCGCTTTGTAATTCCTATGAAAGCACAAGATTTTGAAGAGAGGTGGTCAATAGTGGGTCTAAAGCTATACCAGTTTCCCCAGAGCAGGTTTATTCAAAACCAGAATTACTCCAGATTTATAAGATTGTAGCTTAGGTGAGACTTTGTCTCTCCATAAGCACATGACAGAACTCCTGGATAATGAATGAAATGTAAAGCAAAACATTTAAATTTACATAAACAAACACTACCACACAGGTAGAGATAAAGATGCTTGGCCATGTATTTCAGATGTCAACATGAACTTGGACCTGTTCTGCTTATGGTTTCAAAATCAAATTATGGGCCTGTTTCTACTAAAAATTTCAGTTAATTTACATGCAAATTAAACACACATCATAATTGCTTAGGACTTAACCAAAGGGTCTCTAACCTCTTTGGCTTTGGATCTAAAAGATCCCTCATATCACAGATGATGTATATCATCAGATTTGTTGTCAACGTCTTCATGCCAACTTCCCTAGGGACCTTATCTGTCTAATGAATCAGTGCTACAGATCTACACAAGGAATGGATTAAGGACACATCATGAAGAATTCTTTCCCAGCACAAGGCTGGGTCAAACACTCATGCTTCTAATTCCTACCGCCATTACCTATGAGAAATCACAATTATATCTGCCTTTTAATGACATACAAATCATAAATATTTATCATGGGGTCATAAGTGGAAAGAAACTGAAGTGACACATTAATATTAGCCTAACCACTCCAGTCATTTCCCCATGTATTGGGTCATTAGAACCTGCCACTCCTGGCTTTAAGTTTATATCGGGCAACACAGATGGGCAAAGTGAATCTTTTGATCGAAAATTAGTATCCTAGTTGAGTGAAGGGATAGTCTTAAAGACTATTGAGTCTTTGAGGCATGCTGACCCCAATTCAAGGACACATCAAATTCAGAAATAAGAACTTGCATGAATGTCCCATAGGAATAGTTCTTTTATGCTTAAAATCACCATGCTCCTTAAAGCAGATTGCATGACAACTGTCAGCAATTTGCAAATAGTTTTTTATTTTCTGATAAACATTAATAATTTTCATACTTTTAACACATTTTCTTAATCAATTTATCATTGTTTATGTAAGATAGATTTAGTTCTGATTTAATTATGCCAGCTACTGCTGATTCCTTCTCCTAAATATTAGCATTATTTTCAATACAAAAATATATACTCACATTGAGAGCATTAATGTAAAAATCTCTGCTGCTGAGAAAATGCCACAGAAAACAATTGAATGTATTCTACTTATTTCTGGTCATCTTTACACAAAGTACTCCTCAATGTTACTAATTAAAAAAAAAAAAAAAAAAAAAAAAGCAGACACTTACTTGGTAGCAACTTTCTATAATTTGCATTAGTATTTCCAGGCAGTTTGGGCATAAACCTGTGGACGTGTGTTTTACTAATCCAGCTCCAGCCACCATATCCCGTTACTCTATATTCCTCTCCTTTTTGCTTCCAAACCTGGAAAAAACCAGAAGTTTCAACGGTGCTATTTGCCGCATTATTAATGTATGTGTTCATTTAAAAACCTAAGATGATTTAGAAAAAACCAAAACAACGAACTTTAGTTCAGGCTTTTTCAAGCAAGTTGAAGTATATTTGTGAAATAATATTCTCTCAAACTAAAGATATAACTGCTGACAGTTGATTCCATAACATCTAAACATCTAGATATTACATTAGTAACATCTAAAATCTGCGTAACTGTGAGAATCTACCTAAAAGCCGAAAGATTTTGAATGTAAAAAAAAAAAAAAAAAAAAAAAAAAAAAACAACTCCAAAGAAATAAAGGAATATGTAGAATATGTAAAGATTTAGTTTTAATGTGAAACAAAAATACTGCATAAAAATCTTGTGCTTTTTCACTCCTATGTATTTTTTATGAATGACACTGGAATACAGGGACAACCAAGATTATTTTAATGAATTTACAGTTACATCATTGATTTATTATGCTCCCTCTCCTTTCTCTTTAACATTTAAAGATACAGTACAAAATATGCTTTCATGTTTATTACTTGGTAATAGAGAAAAAAATCCTGTCCAGTCTCTACTAATGAAAAACTTTCATTTTTTTCCCATTATATTTCTTTTCTTTGCAACAGCATAGTTCCAATGACTTTAAAAAAAAGTCATTTAATTCCATGAATCAACAGAATAAGGCCCATGGAAGTAAGAATTTTGCAGTGATAGAAACTGTAAACAGGATTTGAATCGGTGAGGCTCACATGTTCTGACACAACATTGTGAGAAGGGAGAATAAGAATTTAAGGAGTTCTTTCACAGAACTATATCCAAACTAAACAGCAAGTGTAAGTTAGTACTCCATACGTTTAGGCAACAAGAAAAAGCTGGTTTCTACATTTTCAGATTATTTCTAGCCTACATAAAACAATAATAATTGCACTGTTACAGACACATGGGAACATGTACACTACGAAAAAATTAGTCCTACATAAATGAGTGTCAATTATAATACCTTTACAAGAATGAGTAAGGAGCTTGGAAGGAGACTGAAATATACCTTGGTGCAGAAAGTGTGCACAAGACCTGTGCACAGATTAAATCTCACTTAAATTCCCCAATGAAAGCAAGTTTAAGTGAGACAGAAATATGCCCACATAGAGTGGTTTTCATCCCTAAAGAGATGAAAAAAAATGCCCCTAAAATGCATGCTGCATTTTTACCTGTGGTGAACAATAGCATAACCACATTTACTGTTTCAACAGAGACTCTGAAATAAATTATGAATATTTAGTATAATGTTAACACGGCACAAGTCTCAGCAGTTCCTGCCCTGTTAGTAGCTATACATTTGTACTGCCCACTGTCACTTTGCATCAAGTTTTCAATAGTAAGGCTAAGAGAGCCCCCCTGCTCTTCCTGCACACAGTACCTGTCCCCTTCCAACAACACCCCATCCTTGTACCAGTGGATACTTGGGTGGGGGGAACCAGTCACAAGACACTGGAAGCATGCTGAGGCACCTACAAATGTACTGTAGTCAGAAATGAGCCTGAGAAATTTGGGAGGGGATTCTGTAACCTGAAACTCAAAGCTGCAGCTCTCCGAGTCCTCTGCACTAAATTCAACCCGTTCCTCTTGGGACGGCTCCGCAAACACATCAAAACTAATGTTGACACACTTCTCTCCTTCCACTTCCTGCTCTTGCTGAGTCACTGCAAGCAGTCGGATTGCTTTCTCTGAGTCATCTTTGTGTGGCTCGAACTCAAACTCCAGCTCTATTTCTGACTGGTCACCCGGCTTCACAGTCTCACTCAAAATCAAGTCACTCTTCTGGGGCCTGTGTGGTTCACTGCCTGTGACTCTCTCATCGCTCACCTTGGCACTTGCTCCCTTCTGAGCCACGACTACAAGGGAGCCTTTGCACATTGCTTCTCCCAGCCTATTTGTTGCCCGACAGTGATACCAGCCACCATCAGAAGGACCTACGTTTTGGACCTTCAGAATGTGAAGTCCCTCCTTCTGACTCACAAGATACTTCCCTGTGGCAGGTGTCACACAGGTGTCACCTCTAAACCACTGCACTACTGGGACAGGAGTACCTGTTACCACACACTCAAACACTGCTTCCAAGCCTTCTGTCACCTCAACATCTGCAAAGGGCACGGCAAAGCGGGGAGGCATTTCAGTTACTTGAAAATCAATTTTTACATCCTCGTTCTCCTCTGCAGCCAAACCTGCAGCTTGCTCCAACAAGGCAAGTGGAAGGACATCCAGGGAAACCACCATGCTCTTCTTATCTGGGCTAAACTCAGGACTGGTTATGATTTTGACCTGCTTCTCAAACTCTTTCACCTCATTTTCATCCAGCTCCACTTCCAGGAGAATTTCCTGTGGTGAAGGTGACCTTGACGATGTATTTTGCTCCATGTCAAAGTGTATAACATGCTGGTGGGTGACAGGGGGTGGCAGTGCTAGTGACCGCCCATCTTCAGACAAGACTTCCACATGCGCAATACTTCTAGCTTCCCCGACAATGTTCACTGCATGGCACAGGTACTGCCCACCATCAGCTTTCTGGATGTTAGTGATCTCAAGCACACATTTGTTCCCATCCTTCTCTATCCGCACTCTCTCATGCGTCTCCAACAGAGATTTATTATGATACCACTTCACCCCTGGCTTGGGCACACCCACCACCTCGGCCACCAACCTCAGCGTGCTGCCCTCATACAGTCTCCTCCTGCTCAATGCCTTGAGGAATGCAGGTGGCATGTCCCTGCCTGATGGCTCCAGGGCTTCACAGGGAGTCCTAAACACCTCAGCCTGTGGCTGGTCTGGAGGCTGCTGCCTTCTCTCACAGAAGGGGAGCACAGCCAGGGCATCCATATACTCCCCAGTGGGTGTCCAGTAGCGCTCTGGTGGTGTGCTGTCCCCTGATGCAGAATAGAGTCCCTCAAAGGGTGTGAAGTAGTGCTCCAAGGGTGTGTTGCATTTTGAGCCCCCAGAGGGTGTGGAGTAGTGTTCAGGTGGTGTGCTGTATACTGAATCTTCAGACGGTGTGGAGTATCGTTCAGGTGGTGTGCTGTACTCTGAGCCCTCAGATGGTGTGGAGTAGCGCTCAGGTGGTGTACTGTACCCTGAGCCCTCAGATGGTGTGGAGTAGCGCTCAGGTGTGCTAAGCGGTGTGTGATACGACGCTGAGGAAGCAGTTTCAAAGATCTCCACTGAGGAGGGAGGTGTGTAGAAGCGGTCCGAATCAGGTGACTCCTCTCCACTCCCACTCTCCAGCTCTATAGACATTTCTGACTCAGGAGAGAAGGGCCGTGTGAGTTCCTGTTGGTTGTTGTAGTAGTCATAAACTGTGCTGAAGGTAACCTCCTCCACTTCCAGTGAAGTGATGGACTCTCGCTGCTCCTTCTGAACTGCCCCTTTGAGATCTGGAGTTTCCTGCATCCCACTTGACTTTAAATACTTGGCCAGGGAAAAGCCAGGCTCTAGCTCTGAGGCTTGAACAGTACTGGGCTCCGGACCTGCAGAAGTATCCTCCCACAGTTCTTCTCCATCCAGGCTATTCTCAGAGGCTTCCTCAGTGGGAATCTTCTTCTTGCCCCAAGACTCCTTCCTTTGCTCCTTCTGTGCCACAGGATCATCCATTATTAAACCAAGTAAGAGTTGGCCGAAAGAGAAGCCCTTGGTTTTGTTTCGTTCCTGTTGAGTGTCCTTGAGCATCTCCTCGGGGGAACATGTACTTTCTTTCTCACAGGTGGAGCTGGTCATTCCTGTCTCAAAGACCTTTTCTATGCCAGAACCTTCTTCCTCCTCAGCCTGATGCACAGTCTGGGGTTTCTTTTCATGTGCAGCTTTTTTCAAGTCAATGATGAAGCTGTCACTCTGGGAATCTGTGGTCTCCAGTTGTTCCCCACTCTCCCACACGTGTGTTTCTTGCACTTCTCTTTGGAAATCTGCTGTGGACTCCACCAGAAAGCTATGAATTTGTCGCTCAGGCGAATCCTCCTTATGGGCACTTACCTCCGACTCATTAATTTCTTCAACAGAAGATTGCTTTTCAACTGGTATCATGATATGGCCAAGGTCCCCATTATGGATTTGCAAATCATCCCTTCTGATTTCTCTTGGCTGTGCCTCTTCCTGGGCACCGACTTCCTCCTGCTGCATTTTGTAGCTCTGATGCAGCTCCTCACTTAGAGACATCTCTTCCACAAGCACATCATGTTGGTGGACAGGGGAGATGAGCCCAGTTACTCCTACCTCCACACTCTCCGGAGCTGTGAGGCTTTGTCCCTGTTCTGTGTCTACAGTCTCTGCAGCTGGGAAAGGCTCCACAAAATTTTTCAGATCAAATGTGATATTAGTCGTATCAGTCTCAGATGGCAACAGCTGGTCTTTGAACGGCACTTCTTCTAGGTGAATGTCAACTTCATCAGTAAAATTGTGACCTGAGTTTTCTGTGCCAGGAGGAGTAACGATTAGACCCAAAGAAGACTTGCCTACATCAGACTCTATTTCTTGCTGTGTTTGTCCATCATTATGCATTTCCCAGTGCGTGGCATCCCCAGTATCAATCATTTCTTTTTTACAAAGGTGATCATCAACCTCGATGTCCTGTTCAATATCAAACGATCTCTCTTGCTCCTTGGCCTGTTCCTCCTGCTGCTCTTCTGTACAGAAGTCATAAAAGCCAGACTGCTTCTTTGTGGGTGTGTTTGCAATGTTCTCTTGCAGGTGGGGCACACTCAGCTCTTCTACAAGAGGCACATCAGGAGACATTGCCTCCCAGGCAGGGGCATCACTCTCCTCCGTGTAAACATCAGTCCCCTCTTGCACCACAGGTGATATAGGAATGAAAAATTGTGAATCCTCACACTCCCTTGCCAGAGTAGACTGCTCAGAAACATGTGTTTGCCCTTTCACTTCCATAAATGGTGCCTTCAAGATGTCCCAGGACAGAGTGTCTGTATGTGGTACCACCTTGTCTCCTTCAGCCTCCAGCTCCTCTGAAAAGTGACCTGAGTCCTTGGCCACCAGTTCATTCTCTTCCCTGGGTGTGCTGGGGTGCAACTCAGTGGCATCAGTTCCAAAACTATGTTCCTCAGAGACAGCTTTTCCCCTGTTCTGGCTCATTTCAGAAATACCATCTGTATCCTGCACACTTTCTTTTGTATAACCTATTTCTTGCCTTGCATAAACTTCCATGGTATCCAGCACCATCATTTCCTCCATCTCAGTTTCCCTAAAGTGAGAAGTTTTCTCACACTCCTCTTCCAACTGCTCACCAGAAGACGGAGACAGCCTCAGGGACCAGGGTAGGTGGGTTTCCTCCTCCTTGGGGTATGTGATCTGTTCCTCATTATCCTTCCCAAGCGTGCTAAGGTCTTGGAGCTTCAGAACGTGGTCCATGGCAGGCAGTTCGTCAGTGCCTTCATCCTTGCTATACAACCTGGGTGCACTGGGCTGCACTGTCAGCTCAGAGGCAGTCTGCGCTTTTCCAGCCACATTCTTGGCCACACAACAATACAGCCCAGCATCCGCAACAGAGACCTCTCGGATGTGTAAGCGGTATGTGCCATTCTTGCCTTCCTCAAACCTCAGCCTCTCGCTGGCAGAGAGGCTCTGGCCATTCAGTGACCAGGACACAGCTGGTGGCGGCTGCCCAGACACAGCACACTCCAACACCACTGCTTCCCCTTCTTGGCAGTAAATGTGCGCTGGGGTTTCTGCCACAATTTGGGGTGGCTCATTTCCTACATCAAATGAAAACTTGAACTTGTGCTTTATGGTGGGAGCAGCCTGGTCTGGAGAGGGCCGCATGGTCTCCCTCATCTCTGTGTCTTGCTCTGGCGTTGGAGTGGGGGCAGTGATTTTGATTTCCACAGGCAGTGACAGCAAGTCTGAGTCTGGAACTGCACTTAGCAGTCCTTTCTCTGCTGCGAAGGCCTGGGTGACTTCTTCCTCCTCCTGCATCTTCTCCTCCTCCTCCTTCTTCTCTTTCTCCCCTTCTTCCTCCTCCACTTCCCCCTCCTCTTCCTCCTCCTCCTCCTCTTTCTTCCCTTCCTCTTCCTCCTCCTTCTGCATGGCCTCACAGGCTGGCATCCGCCGCCTCACATGGAGTGCAGCTGAGGTGCTGACTGTGCCCAGTGGGTTGAAGATTACGCAGGTGACAGTGCCAGCATGCTGTGGGAGCAGGGATGGGAAGGTCAGCGTAGAGCGGCACTCTGTGGTGTGAACAGCGGTGCCCCGGATGCGCCCCACGGGCTTGGTGTTGTTGTACCAAGTGACTGTGGGCTGTGGGCGGCCATGGAAAAGGCAGGAGAAGGTGCATCTCTGCCCCTCAACAGCCTCCTGGGGCCTGATTTCCTGGACAAAAAGTGGTGGGCAGGGTTCCAGGAGTCCACCTGCCATCTGCCATCTCTCCCCTGCAGCCTTGGGCCTGTGGTACCCCTTCACTACCTGCACCATGAGGGGCTCTGAGCCACCCATCGTGGCAGCCACCTCAGGTGGGCTGGGCTTCCCGGGAAGGCCTCCCTGAGGCACAGACATGAGGGAATCCTGCTTCTTTTTCAGTGCTGCCCTCTTTGCCTCCCGCAGCCGCTGTAGCTTCCAACGGATCTCCTCATCCAGCAGCTCCTCCGCATCTGCCACTGTGCCACTGTGCTCCCTACCACGTGCCAGCCCTGGACGGTGAGGCTCCACCAGCGGCAGCCTCTGGAAACGGATAGTTCGTACCATGCCCCGGGCTGGGGAGCCATCCCCAAGCAACTGCTCAGCCTCCTGCCCCTTGTCGAAGGGCGAGCCGGTGCAGCGGAGCACCACCCGCAGCCGGTCTTCCTGCCGCTGCTGCAGCAGGCACTCCCAGCTCTCCCGCCTACACTCTGCTTTCCCTGCAGAACCCAAGCCCTGCTGCTCCCCACCGCGTGCCACCAGCAGCGAGGCAGTGGACTCGGCTGAGCCCTCACTGTTAATGGCAAACACCCTGTAGCTGCCAGCGTCATGCTCCCGCACATCCCGCACCTCCAGGCTGGCATGGTGCATGTGCTCCTCACTCTCGGTGCGGATCACCTTGCGGCAGTCCTGGCGGACCGGCCGGTTATTGTGAAACCAGGCCATGTGGGGTGCCGGGCATGCCACCAGCTTGCACTGGAAGAGGACAGGGTCCCCTTCCAAGACAGACCTACACTTGAGGCCCTGTGTAAAGGTGGGTTTACGGTTCTGGGCGCAAGCCAGCACCACTGCCATCCCAGGTCCCTCGAGGCTCGCCGTGCTGCGCTGCTCTGCAAGAGAAGGAAACTGGGTTATAATGTGCCACACTCCGCCTGCCATCTGATTGAAAAAAATGAAATAGCAATATATTGAAATAAAAAATGGGCATGCAACAGATTTCATCACACACCCAGGAAAAAAAAGTAATTCACTCACCATATTTGTTCGAATAAACGCAACGCCTTGCTCTGTTTTAAAGATTGACACGAAAATCGTTCGTTGTCTGTTCTTTCTTCAGACTCTGGAAATTTCTTCTTGAACAAGCAAAAATGAATTTCAAAATAACACGTTCTTCTCTGCGTGTATGATTTTGCTGCCTGGAAAAGCTGTGTGTCTTTGGGTAGCAAAGAAGAAAATCTTACCTGACTTGCAGACAGTAGAATAAACGCCCTTTCTGACCCTTCTGTTTTGTAGATTAAATGTTCAAACAATTGAGAAAAAATATTTTGAAAGATATTTTTTTTAAAGTAAGTAATTAGCTAACACGAAATGAGAAGGCGTTTATTCGAACTAATACAGCCACTAACTTCACAGTGTTATGCACAGGGAAAAAAGCAAGCAACATGAACCACGTATGCTATCTGCAAGCCAGGGTAAGAAATGTATAATGATGAATTAATGTATGTGAAAAAAGTGCAAGGAATCAATGGGAATGTGTAGCTTTCACATATCCTAAACAACAAATGCTTTCTAGAATACTTCATTCATCCATCCAATTGAAGTGTCCATTGAACTGATTAATGTTAGGTTGCTAACTTGTTTAAAAATAAGATGATTAAGATTTGTATAACTTCCTTCTGAAGTAAACTATTCCATGCATTCAAAAGGAAATTGAACAAATAGAAGCTCTATGAACAGCTGCAAAGCATGAAGTAAAAGTTAAAAATATGGCTGCAAAACTATAAATCTGAAGTTTTAAACACATTTTAAAACTTAAATAACCATAAAATGCAGGTAACCCTTTGCATATCAAAACAAACATGCAACATGTTCCAATATGCTTCAAAGTTTGTCTGTCTTTCCCCATCAGACACTACATGTAAGCAGATAAAAGCTTTTCACAATGTTACTAATCAGTGATACTAATTATTCAGTGTAACGTCATTGGTGACTGTACCTTTCACTTCCATTTCAACCTCTTCCTCTAGCTTCTCATGAATAATTTTTTCAGGAGCTAGAATAAAAAGACAAAAATTTTTGAGCCATAGGTGCTAAATATGTCGATCAACAGTTTAAGTAGTAAAACCATCCAATTTCTTGCAAATATACAGAAATTCACACATACATACACATAAATGCATGCCAAACAATTCAAACACTTGATAAATTTTGAGAACAGAGTAATAAAATGCTTTCAAACTGGTTTGCAACATACACTTTTCTATAAGATTTTCTTCCTTTTTTGCAAGGTGGGGAAAAGTTTCTAATGTAACATGCCTTTATCATGCCTCAAATCCCTGAAAAAAACATTCAACAATCCACAGACTAATGAGATGCTTTTGGTTCTTTACTATCTCCCAGGGAATGAATGTACTGGAATGCAATGATGCTATGCATGAAGAATCGATATGTGGAAGGAACATGCAGTTGCCAACCTGTCACTCTCAGATGGGTGCTGCACTCGGCTTGTCCTGCAGGATTAACTATTCTGCACTTGTATATACCCTTGTGGTTCTGACCAACTTTCAACAATCTTAAACTGCACAGCGGCCCCTCATGTTTTAAGGAACACAATGCAGACTGCTCAACTATTTGCTGATTGCACAGCCAGACCACACAAGGTGTAGGCACACCCTTCATTATACAAAAGAGTAACACATCATCTCCTTCTTTAACAGTTGTTTCTGAAGGCAGAGTTTCAAGAAACTCTGGTGCTTCGGCATCGGTGTCTGTGATGTCTTCACATGGCACAACATCGGGATAGTAGACTCTGTTTCTTTGCTTCTCAGTTTCATATGGTCTTTGGGACGTAGATATAAACAAGCTCGAGGTTTTCTTGGAAGATTCTTGCTTAACTTCAGACGCTTTAAACTGACAATCTTTGGCTGCTTTAAAGCTTTTAGTATCTGATTCAAGGGTAATTTTTGTTACTGCTTTGGCTTGTGCTTCTTTTGCTAGGTAAGAATAAAGTTAGGAAAAGGATTAGATCAGGTGTTTTGCAGGAATTAAGGATATCCTTATATTTGGAGGGAAAACCCTCCACTAATTAGTATTGAAAGAATGTTCAGCATATTAGTGCTACAACAATGCTATTAAACATGACTGATTACACATTTAAGAGCTCTATTCCTGCTGGGCTAGTTCTAGGTAGCAATTAAGCCTATGGGACTTCCATTGGACCAAGACTTGGTCTGTAATGCCTAATACAAGCACATCTTTATTTTTGAGACCCTCAATTTAGGAAGAAGCAGCAGAAGATTATGTAAAGTGCTTTGCACAGCTCAAGAATGAAGAAAGAAAATTCAATATCTAAAAGACAAATCAACAGGGCCAAAGGCTTCCTCATTATTCATCTTATATTTCTGCTCTTTATTCCGTTTCCCTCAGTAGAAATACTATTACCTGTCCAGTGTGGTGATGATACATTTTTGGGTTTTCACTAGAGGTAACACTAGTAACATTTTAATATGCTGATGACAGGAAGAAGTGGAAGGAGTCTTAGCAAAAATAAATACTTATATCTCAGGAGAGTGAAGGGTAGAAGACAATTCATTAGTGCAGTAATACAATACTTGCACCCATTAATTCTTTCAGTTACATTGACCTATATTGCCAATTTTGGAATTAGAAACAAGTTGAACCCATAGTGTTTGAAACGACCAGGTATATCTAGTTCAACATTGCTTATCTGACATTCTTATCTTCCTTGAAACTCCAGCTTTGGGAATTCTCAAAATGCAAAAATTCCTACCAGCCTGTTTTGCTTTACATCTCACTGCATATCATGAAGAATATGAGGAATAAAAAGCCTCAGACACCTGTCACTTGCCGGGAAGAGCCATGAAGATACAACACCAACTTCCCAATACTGCAGGGGTCACTTATGAATAGAGCTCTAAATGTGGAGGAAAAGCCCCAAAGCATTATTAATAGAGCTTTCTCAATTAAATAGTGATAATAAAGGAAATATGAGTGAGCTGTAGGCAGTAATAATGAAGTTGCAAAAGATAAGTCATAATGTTAAAAGTCAGATAACCACCTTTGACTGTTAGCATTGCAGTAGTTGTTGTCCCTCCGTAATCATTGTATACAGTACAACTGTACAGTCCTTGATCAGTCAGCTGGGCATTTAGGATTGTGAGCAGTAGGACACTTCCTTTTTGTGAAATCTTCAGTTTTTCAGATGCTTCTATCCTTTCACCTTCATGAGCCCAAAGAAACTCAGAGAAGAATTCATTTTCTAAGCCACAGATGAACTGAGCAGTGTCACCACATTTCACAGTTAGGTCTTTGAGTTGCAAGAGAATCTTTGGAGGGTCATCTTTCATTTCCTGAGCAGTGGCCACAGAGATCCTGGTGCTCTGAGATGTTTGGGAAAGGATTGTTGTGTGCATAGCTTCCATTTCTTCAAGTGATGTAGCCTTCATGGTCAAACTTTCCGATACGCTCTCAAAAACCTGTACACCCAATTGCTGTGGCAGCTGTTGCATTGATTTAAATTCTTTTTGATAAGTTTTAATGTTCTTCTTTGTGAGGGGAGCAACATGAAGTTCTGTTATAGCCTGTGACCGGATAGACTCTTTTACATCTTTCCCAGAACTTTGCCTATCTAGGGCTTGCACTGTGTAATCAAGTAACAAAAATAACAACAATATTAGTATCTAAAGAACTTTACTGGGCCATGATCTGATGAAAATCAAGCAGCATGAAGGATGAAAATGAATGATCTTCATTTGAAAACTCAGCATGCCAGATGCACTATGCCCTTTACACAAAGATTATCCATTCACATACATGAATGACAAGTGGTGCCTAAGCTACTCATGCAGTAGATACATAGTTGATATTTGTCTCTTCTTGCATTGAAGTTGTCAATTTTAGTATTGGAAACTTATTATGGAACTTTTTAAGGAGGTATTTTCTTTTCTTTTTCCCTACAAGATAGTGCAAAATACCTCAGTCAATGCTATAAAATCACTTAATTCCTTGCTTTAAAAATCTGAATTTCTGCAGTAAAAAGATTCTATTCTTTGCCCAATGTCAAGATACAAATCTGCAAATTTCTGAATGTTACAGCTTAAACAGAAGAAATGAAAGTGGCTGGGTTACAGAGGGTAGGTTCTACTAACGTTAACTGGTAAAGAAAAGGTGTGAAACAAGAAAAGAAGAACATTAGTAACGGTGTAAAAGTGTGGTATACAACAAACTGAATCCCTTTGAAGTAAAAATGGGGCTTTACCTTCTGCAGTCACTGTAAGTGTAGCTGTAGAAGTTGTTTCTCCAGCACTATTTCTTGCCTTGCAAGAGTATTGGCCAGCATGCTCTAAGAAAGCATCTACTATTATCAGTATAGCTGTGCCTGTTGACTTATCAAAGTGGAAAACTATGTTTTTTGTTGGCAACATGAGTTGTTGATTATGAAACCACTGGATTTTTGGTTTGGGCATGCCAGAGACTCTAGCTTGAAATCTGACTGATTCCCCGCTGTATACCCTGCAGCTCGAAATAGGCTGGATAAAGGTGGGCCTTTGGCCAATAGACTCCTCCTTAAGTGAAACAGATGAAGAAACATGCCAATGGGACTCTGATGTAACTTCTTCAACATTTTTAAATCCTGAAAAGAAGCATGCCAACTTTTAATTTCTTACCCTACACTACAATAAATTTTCTCTCTCATTCAAGACTTTTTTTATAACTTGCAACTTAACAGCATGAATTATTGTAATTCATAATTTATAAAACCCATTGCAAAAAGAAAACAAAATATTTATGGTTAAATAATATCAAGGACAATATAGAATCTAAATGGCAAATTCTCCAGACAATATTTCTGTTCTAAAACTTTGATCAATGTTTCATCAATTCATAGGAATGTAAACTATTTCCTTTCAGCTGCCCAGGTACCTGGTACACACCTCTATTTAACATGTTTTCCAACATTTTCAAAGTAATTTTTTTTATACAAAACTTCTTTCTGGATTCTCCTCACAGTCAAATCAAATAATATGTAAGCAAAACAATTCCATTAGAAAGACGGTTACTACCATGTTTGATGCATGACAGATTCTAATACTGGAGAGAGAATGAAAAGGTGAGGTGCATGGAACACTGAAAAAATGTAAAATAAGATTT